TCCCTAATACTTGTATTTTGGCATCTTGGTTTTCGATCGTGGCAAATGGATAACATCAAATTGCTTGCTTTTTCATAGTTAACAAACGAATTTGACACGTAAGTCTCGTTCGCTTTACGGATTTAAGTTTTCAATTTGAACTGAAATGTAACATTTTTTTAGAGCTTTTAATTATAGTATAAAAAATTAAATTTGACATTTTCTGAGAATTTTTAACTGTAAAAACTTAAAACTGAAAACTCGAATCGAAAAAATTGAAAAAATAAAAGAGGCTATAATGGCCAAATATCTTCAAGAGAAAAAAAAATCTAAAACAATAAAGTGTGTGTAAAAATTACATAAAATTTTTTTAAAAGAAAAAAAATTCATCAAATTAAAACATGTTCTGTACTACTTGAGCTCCGTTCTCAAAGCAAAAGCATGATAACCATTTACCATATAAACGCAAGTTGGGTCACTAATGTCCGTTTAGTTAATGTGTTTGATTTATGATTTAACTTTTGAATTTTAAATTTTTTATAAAAAAAACACTACATTAGAATTAAGAATTATAATTTAAACTATATAAAACCCTTAAAACAAGCATTACCTTACAAAACAAGAATTAATTCATAAAAAAAAAAAAAAAGATGGCAGAGCGAAACCCAACGATTGAAACCCAGTTTTGGATGAGTGGCACAAGAATCAGTTTACCGGCACAAAAAAGTCTCAAAAACAAAAGGCAGATTGTAGAATCTAGAAGAACAATAACGAGAAAAAACAAAACTCTTATCAGCGAAGAAAAAATAAGGGGAAAAAAATAAAAAATTTTCACCTTTGTTTCAAATTCACTCAAATATTTTCTCTTGTTTGGTAGTTTAGAAATTTAAAAAAAAAATGAAAATTTTTGAAAAAATACATTTTAAATTTTGGGAAATAAATTTTAAGGGGTTTGTGTGAAAGACATATGACTATCATCAATTTTTTTTTTTAATAAGAAACGAGAAAATATTAAAATGGCCTCGTTCACTTCGCTGATTCGAGTTTAGAATTCGAGTTGAGATGTGATTTTATGTGAGAGTTTTTTACTGTAACAAAAAAGTTATATGTGATTATTTGTAAGAGCTTTTTACTGTAAAAAACTTGAATTCTAAACTCGAATTAACGAAGTGAACGGGGTCAATTATTAATAACGAACAAAAAAGGTGCAACAGGGGACAAAGAGTCCACCAAAGTGTAACGAACAAAAGAGAACTAGAAGCACAAATTTAGGGTATGTTTAGTTCACTGATTCGAGTTTTTAATTTGAATTGAGATGTGACTTTATGTGAGAGCTTTTTACTATAATAAAAAAGTTAGATGTGATTATTTTTTAGAGCTTTTTATTATAATAAAACTCAAATTTTAAACTTAAATCAGTGACATCAACGTAGCCTAATGTTGGATCAAATCACATCCTATATTATCAACAATTGGTGCGTTTATTGAGACCTTTATTTTTTACTTTTCACACACCCCTTTTTTATATTACTAAAATACCCATTTATAAAATTACTTTTAAAGACAATAATATTCTAAAAAAAATACTCACTACACACCCCACCATTAAAAATATATTGCCTTCTAAAATTTACTGTGCTCTACTTTTGCAGAAGAATAGGGATGAATTCAAACGTGAAAGAGCCTCCCACAAAAAGGTACATGTCATAATTTTTCTTAAAAATTCTTGTTTTTTAAATTCTGATTTTGATGGTTATTTACATTATTAATTCTGAAAAATTTGTGATTCGTGAAAGAAATTTTGAAGATAAATTTTTTTTTTTACTACCGCCGACATGTAGACAAGTCACTGTAATTGAATATGAAAAGTTTTAAGCTTAGTTGATTTTATCAATTTAAATTTTTAATTTTAAGTTTGTTATAGTTAAAAATTTTCATAAAAAATTATATTTAATTTTTTTTATTATAATAAAATATTTTTGTATAAAATTACATTTTAATCGTGTTCATGGATAGGCTGCACCCACAAGTAAACTGCTCATACTTGTTAGGGGGTGTTTGGTATGCGAAAATCAGTATGAATCATATTCTCAGAAAAGTGATGAAGGGTAATATAATTTTTAAGAATAATACATTATTGTGTTTAGTTCTATACATGAATCTTTTTTAAATTCTTAAGAATATTACATTACTGTGTTTGGTTATTCACATAATAAATATAATAATAATAATAATAATAATAATAATAATAATAATATTCTCATGATTTTGAGATTTTTAAGAATTTGAATAACACCATATTGGGTGATATTTAAATTACCTTAAAATAAAAAAAAATAAATCTCATGATAATTACTTTTTAAGAATCTAAAAATTATAATTCTTATACTAAATATGATAATATTGTAAATTCTCATTCTCATTGTTAAGATTACTGCGTACCAACTTCAAGAGTTTTATTCAAGTTAAATTTCGTGCTTTAGAATGAAAGTTTAGGGGGATTCTGTTTGAGATTAACTCCAGTCTGGCGTTTTCTTATCGGTGTGGGACTAGGGTTTCCATTACCATTTGCGGTTAAACTCAGAAACACAACAACAAAGGATCCCATTACATTTACAGCAGCAGCAAAATCTTCTTCTTCTTCGATTTCGCTGCTCTCTCTCGTCTAAGAATCTGGTAAAGTTGTCGTCTTTGATCTCAGAATTATACTTTCCGTTCCCGCCCAAATCGGAAGAATTGGGGGTAGGTTTCTGCTGAGTTTCAAAGAAACCCTCGAGGAAGCAACTTCACCTTCGATTACTCTCATTCTGGTCCCTGCGTTTCTGAGTTTTAAAAGGTCTCTCTCTCTCTCTCTCTCTCTCTCTCTCTCTATATATATATATATATATATATATATGTATATATAGAGATATCTGATTTTATTGAAACTTTTGATATGTTTTTTTTGGAAATCTAACAAATTCTCGCTTTTTAGGTGTATTATGTAACCTTGATTCTTTCATATATGAATCCTTTATAACCGTTTTCTTATTATCTTTTTGGTGGTTTTACTGTCTGTCTAGTCAATTTTGTCTTCTCTTCTGCCTGCCTATGGAAATTATATATGCTACTTTGTCTGTCTAATCAACTCTTGTTTGGTGCTGAGTGATATCTCCAATCTCCCTTGATTGGAAGTGATTCTGTACGGTTCTAACGCAGCATTGCTTATTAATCACTAATTGGATCCTCTCGGTTTGAGTCTCATCTCATGGATTTACAAGATTTTTTTATCATCACTTGTTCATATTTTGCTTTATTTTACGAATTTGTTCCTGACATTCAGAAGTTTGTTTATGTAAATTTGCTTTTTTCGTTGAGTAATTCAATTAGAGTATAGTACTACTTTGCATGATTTGATTGTTTTAGTATGATGTATTGATTATCTTCCTGTCACTTTAGAAAGTTGTGAGTTCTATAATTTCTTTTATGTTTTCCTGACTAATTTATGTCTATACTATTGGTATAGTAGTATCGATACTGACCTGAATATTTTATAGATCAAGTGTTTGTATTAAGCACTGTGTTAATGGTTTTTGATGATTTGTATAGATTAGGATTATTTTCCTCTTTCTTTGTTTGGTAACTACTAACAAGATTTGGTTGGAGCTTCTTTTGTAATCCATATGTATTTCCACTATATGGCATTTTTTTCTTGAAATATCTTTGAGTTTATCCTTGTTTATCTTGGTTTTTCTTCAGTTAGTTTCTGCACTTGTTGCATTATGCCAAGGTTTTATGATTGTTCCTTTATTTAATTAATTTTGACTCACATTCTGCTACACATGTTGTTGTCTATCTGTATGTAATAACCTATGCCACTCTATTGTATCATAGTCATACTTTACTGTTAAATTTTCTCTCTCTGTTTTGATACAACTGATATTATTCTCGTACATCACAAATTTCTTTCATCAGTGTAATATTCTTTCCTCTTGAGTTTCACTAGTCTCTTCATGTAAGAGCTTAAACAGTCTCCCTTATGGGTGTTTCAATAGTTATTTTCTTAAAGTTTTACTCATATTATCTAGTTATTATGATGACAACTTCTTATCATTATATTTAGTTCTTATCACTAAATAACAAAAAAGTTGATTTAATAAATGCTACATTACTTAACGTTCCTCCAAAGTTACTTTTTCTCATCTTCATAATTCTTTAAGAGATATATTTTAATCTCTTTTTAATGTTAAATCTTATTATTATTATCCTGATGGCAGATGTCTGCTAATATAGACAGTTACTTTTGAATAGTTATTAAAAACTTTTCCCTCCGTTTCATTCTCAAACATTTTCAAAAATTTTCCCCTTATTAGGATAGCTGCATTTTATCAGTTACTTTTATATTTCAAAAGTCAATAGTTGCTCTTATATCTGATCACAACTAGTCTTAGTTTACTATTGGTATTTAGTGGTTTTGATTCCCTAAAAGTGTTTTACTTTGCTATGTATTAAAAAGAGGCTAGTAAGGAAGGCCTTCCTTCCTTACTCCCTCTTTCATAAATAAATATATATATATATATAAATAATATATAAAGTAAATAAAAAAATCAAAATCAACCTTGGTTGAATACTTCAATCCTCTACATATTCTGGTAATTTAATTGCGGTTTAGCATTCAACTTTGGTTGAATATAAATCTTGATATTGTTATTAACATCTTGCTTAACTTATATTCCGAAGTCATCGCAATCCTATTGCAATATAAGATAAGTTCATCCCTCTTTTTTTCTTAAAATTTCAATAATCTAGTTTTTTTTTCTAAATACTTTTTCATATATTCATATACTTTGCAAGTTCGAAATGTTATCTTTAACAGCCTCTTGTTCTTATAATTTTTTTGTCTTTATTCTTCTTCCAAGCAGTTAAATAAATCTTATGTGTTGTTTTCCTAACACCACATGATTTATTCTTACTTGCTCCTTGGATAGAAAAAGACATTATTTGACTGGATTTCTTTCCATCATGGATTGTATCTCTTGATACTTTCTTTCTTCTCAAAAGAAAAAAAAAAGGGTGGGATGGATTGGAAGATTTTTTGGAGGGTTTTTTATTTATTTATGGGGTTTATTTTTTTGGATATGACGTTTTAATGTTTTTAGTTTTTATTTATATATATATTTTTAATATTTTTAATATGTTCTATAAAAATAAATTCTATTCAAGTTAAGTAGAAGGGTAAAAATGACATTTTAGGTCTCAAAGAATGGTCTCATTCAATTTTCCAATTTGAATTTTCAGTTTGAGTTTTTAATATTATCAAAAACATAGGGTACCAAGAGCATGTTTTGCTATAACACATTGTACCAAAATGATTTTATCTCTTTTAATAATTTCCTGAGTGATCATAGAATGGTATAAGCAGTGTATCCTTTTGTTTAGAACTTGTCAATGGTGATCTAGAATCACACAAAGTGAAATTTGGCTTTTTTCTTTCTCATTCTTTATTTATTTGTTTATTTTTTTTTGTTTCCTCAGATGGCATCTCCCGAGGAAGCGTACTCAGATGAAACTCTTGCATTTATGGACCTTGCCATACAACAGGTAATGCACATCTTCCTACAATTTGAACCGAGGAGGAAAAACAATTGGTACAATGTTTTCTTGACTATATGTGTGTTGCACTTTATCATTGATATAGGAGAATAGATATAGGTTGAATGGCGCCAAAGAATATGGAATAGGTTTCGGAAGAGGGTAAAAAGGAATTTAATTTTTGAAAATTAGTATGCGGAACTTAATAGACAATAGTTAGATGTAGAAAATTTTGGGTTTTTAATACGAGGAATGCTAAGTGCACTTGTTAGTGGCGCGAGTGAGCAATTTGGACCGTTTGTTTTTTGTGGTGCTCACAGTGGACTACACATTAATGAACGGTCCAGATTGTGCACTCGCGACACTTGTGATTGCACTTAGTATTTCTCTTTTGGTACATGGTATTTGAGGGCAATGTCAAGCTAATGATTTTTTCCCCCTTAAATTCCCTTATTTGTGGCTGTCAGTAGTTGAAGAGAAGTTCGGTTTTTCTTTATGCCAATAGTGTAACTAGGCTTCAAACTCACTGTAAATGTCTTTGTTTCCTATTCGTTAGTTTAACTTGCTTTGCTTATGTTTGCTTTTGTTATGGTAGGCAAAGCTTGCCTTGGACAGCCTCGAAGTGCCTGTTGGGTAAGCTAGCTTTATATCTTTGCAATTATTTCCATGCTTTTCCTAATTACAATTTGATTTATCTTCTTATAGCCTTTTTAGAGACTTATATGTTCACCTTGCATATGTTGTTAGCCTAGAAGTTTGTGTGTGTGTGTGTGTGTGTGGGTGGGTGTTTGTTTTTCCTTTAATAATCGTAGCATGCCCCCTTCATCTGCTGTATGGCAACAATCTAGGCTAACACGAATTCACATTTTTTTTCCCTCTTTTTTTATGCATATCTTTTTTATAGTCATATTTAGAGCTTAGACTACTGCGACTTGCAAAGTATTCTCAAGAATCGCTTCTGCTGAGTTGGGAATTGATAACTATGATTGCAAATAATAAGACTTTCTCGTCTAAATAGCTAATGAGATTTCCTTTGGAGTCTGGTTCTCCATGCCATAAGGTTGTTAGATCATGTTTGGGGTATGAGATAATGGTTAGATGTAGGGAAGGCTCTAAGAGTTGCACATAGAAGTCCATGTATTTTTCCTGCTTTTAGTTCTCTTTTACCTGGTTATATTTCTCATATTTCATTGTTTATTGCTTTCAACTCAAAGTTGCATTTCCCTAATAGAAACTATTTACTTGATTGATCAGTTGTGTCATCATCAAAGATGGGAAGGTCATATCCTCTGGAAGAAACCGAACTACTGAGGCCCGAAATGTAAATAACCACCTCTTCTCTCTTTGTTCCCTGTTCTACCTCTTTTTTATCCTTCTTCTTTTGGCTGGATTCTCTCACTTTTATTCTGATATTTCTTATATCCGTGTACACTTATTTTTCTAAGCTCATATCGAAAGTTTAAACCTGTTGCGGGGAAAACCTATCAAATAAAGTGTTGCTTTAGGCACCTTTTATGTTCTGTGTTCAATCCATAAGTGTTTTTCATTTGGAATCTTAAGTGTTCCCAGTTAATGTTTTCCGTAGTCATGCAGGCCACAAGGCATGCAGAGATGGAAGCAATTGATATGCTTCTTGACAAGTGGCAGGAAAGGGGGCTTTCAAAGTACGAAATTGCTGAGCATTTTTCAAAATGCATTTTGTATGTTACATGTGAACCATGCATCATGTGTGCCACAGCATTGTCGATTCTTGGTATGCTCTTGCTCTTTTGATGTGCTGATGAATGAAAGTTTTGTCAGTTTTAACGGAAATCATTTTATTTTCATCAATGTTAATTTGGTCAGGTGATTTTTTAACCTGTTTTAGGTATAAGCGAAGTTTTCTATGGATGTGCAAATGAGAAATTTGGGGGATGTGGATCAATATTGTCGTTGCATTTGGGTAACTCTGAGTCGCACAACAGGTTTATCTCTGAACCCAATATTAAAAACAACAATTTAACCTCTTAATAGATTTATTTCTGAATCCAACATCAAAAGCAATGTTATCTAATGATTCTGCTTTGGCCATTAGACTATTTCTCTGTGGGAGATTCACAAAACTTTTTCGTCACTTTTATTTGATTTTCAAACCACAAATCTTGATTTTAGTTAAGGTGTGGAGAAATGGCACTTTCATAGTGCAGTATTCAACAGCAGGTTCTCTCGTAATTGCTGTGAAATATGAATATTGCTAACTACATGCAATGGATTCTAGCTGAGATGTACACTTTTCTCATCGATGTACATTTGAAAAACAACTTTTTTTCCCCCCTGGATGCATTTACTCGACATTACTATGAAGTATGCAATTGATATGATCTCTAATGTTTTTCTTCTTCTTTTTCTTTCTCACTATATTTAGTGGTGGAATTCCTCAAGGGAAGGGTTTCAAATGCAGGGGAGGAATAATGGCGTCTGAAGCAATCTCTCTTTTCCGCGGCTTCTATGAGCAAGGGAACCCTAACGGTAATCAAGATCATCATTATTGTTACTTTGTTTGTTAGTATAAGGGAAATTTAGTTCTTGATTTGCATTAGTAAATATCTAAGGTATGTAAACAAGTTAGATCGGTAAAACACAAAATTTCTTGCATGGATTATGGTCGTCCTCGCACCAGGGTCATGGCTTGGTTCAACTGACTGAGATTTTCCTTAGTAACTCTTACAGTTCAGGCTGGATTTGTCCTGTTTAATTGTATTTGAACCACATTTTTGCTTTTTGGTTCGACGTTCCTCTATCACCGCCTCGTCTTGCTTGAGTCATTTCTTGGTTTTCAGTGCTGCGTTATCCAACTGAACTCCACTATATATGTGTTTAAGATATTGGATTTACAGTATATCTTCCTCTTGCCGTACTAAGATCTAATTTCATAACATAGTAACTTATTCTTCATTTGCACTTTATTTTTCCCTGCTTCTTCTCTCAAGGGATCAGAAAAGTATACCAATTATTATTATCATTATTATTATTTTGATAAGAAACGGGTAACTTGTATTAATTTAGAGAAAGTATGCTGATTTATGCATTCAGCTGCTGACATTTATAGAACTTAAAAATATGTTACCTTTTGTAATTTTCGGTTTTGCTTGAATTAAATACATACATTTCTACTTTTAACACGTAAGGGCCGTTTCACGTTTTCTTACGTTGTAACGGTTCTTTCAGCTCCAAAGCCTCACAGGCCTGTTGTCCGCCAGGAAACGCAATGAATATGCCCGCTAGAAGGTCAGATTTCACAATACATTGCACAAATAGGCTGTCTGTTATGGTTTTTCTCTTTATTATTGCTGTTGTTGCTTCTTCAAATTGGTCTGAATCTAGGAGAACTGATCTGTTTGCTAGGTACAGTGCCGTGTTACCCAATACCAACAACAAGCCCGAATTCGAATTATTTCGAGATCGAGGATTTTGCAAATGCGAGTCCAAAAGAGCTAGAGCACAAACTATACTTTCATCAAAAAAAAAGAAAAAACAAAAGAAGAAGACAGAACTTTATGTGCAATTTTTCTGCATAAACCGTAACATTGTCTATATCAATTTTACCTATATTCAAGATTGTCTAAGGGCCCGTTCGGTTCGCTAATTTGAGTTTTTAATTCGAGTTGAAATGTGATGTTATGGGAGAGTTTTTTACTATAGTAAAAAAGTTAGATGTGACTGTTTTTTAGAGTTTTTTACTGTAGCAAAACTCAAATTTTAAACTTAAATTAATCTATTTTTTGTCACTCTTCATGGAATCAGAGATTTGGATTTATTGTTTGCATAACTAATTAAATTATTTATTTAGTTTGATGAATCACTTTAATAAATTATCAATTCATCAAGTTTATTATTGATTTACATTAATTTATTAGTATATTGTAAAGTTATTTAATCTAAAGTAAGGGAGAGAGTGAGAGAGCAGCGGTAACAAGTTTTATAATTCCCCAATTTTGTTTACTTAAAGGGTGGTAGAAAAAACATTTTCATTTTATATGATGGATTTTTTTTTTCTTTTTATTTTTGTGAAATTGGAATTGTACTATGTAATATCCTTAGAATCTATTTGAGCACTAAATATGTATATAGAATCTAAGCTTCGTTTTTTTCTTAGAATCTAAGCTAACATTTGCACTTCTCAAAAGTCAAATTTACAAGTCAATTTCATTTCGATGTTATTGGAAGTTCAGTGGCGTCTAGTAAATATTTCACTCATAACAAGAAAATTTCAAACTCAAAAGTAAAACAGATGACACAACAAATATTGAATTTCGACGCCTTTATCTTTTGCTACTACTACATTACATCGAACAAAATTTCCTTGCTTTTTAGTAAACCTAACAAAAAGGTGTTCATGACTTTGGAACAAAGTAGAAGCTTTAACATGTGATCCAAAGACAACAAAACCAGGAGATCAAACATAATACATCAATTTTGAGAAAATCCTCTATACTAAAAATTTAGATGTTGGACCAGCCACTCTTCTCTTCTAACTAGTCTTCGTCTCCGCCGACTTTAAGTGCGATAATTATATAAAGGAAAAAAAATAGAAAAAAAAGGAAAAAAAAGTAAAAGCCAAGGCATTATTGACACCATAAATGATGATGATGATGATCTCAATCAAGAAGGGCAAAATATGTTTCCTTTTTCTTGTGCTATTTTTCCACCATTATTTCATGCTTTGAATTAGGCCTCCTAACAAAGCGCCCCTGAAAAGAAAACAAAACACTAATAAGACACAGAAAACCACCAAGCATATTGAATAGAATTTTGCAAGCGTCAATAGTAACAACTACATGGATACTAAGGTTTAGAAGTTTTTTGTGGTCGTTTGATTACTATTATACTATCCCTAAGATGAAAAAAAAAAAAAAAAACCGACATATGTGGAAGTGTAGCTTGCTATGCAAGCAAAGCTAACGAATTTGTGTTGAAATTTGGCAAATGTGCAATATAGTTTTGCCAATTGGCTATATAAAGTTAGGTGTGATGTGACCAAGCTTTTTATATAATACATGGAAAAAGAACATCTATATGTTCCAAGCAAAAAGAATAAGAGGGAAAACGACATCTTTATGTTTTTAAGCGCAACAAAAACATTTTAAATACTAAATGATAACAGAAATTATTTAATTTTTAAATAATAAAGAATAACGACTAAATCATGATGAAATTATTGCAGGCATGCCCTTATTTTATAAGGCTGGATTGAATTGGCTTACTAAAATAATATGCTGACCATCAGATGAGAATTACTTATCATACGAGTTCGATTGTATTATATTATTTATTAAAGATTATATGAGACTGTTGTTGAAGGAAATTAGTAAACAAGACTAACTATAAAAGATTTATAGGATTCGCAATCTGAAAACATTTTTGTATCATTGATAAATCTAAAGAAAAATGCAAAATTAATCTTTGTTGCAACTATTCATTTTCTGAACTGAACTTTTATGGTTAAATGCATATAAATATTTCACATTTATAAAAGTCATGTCATGTTAAAATTATTTTAGAATAAAAAAGCGTGTAAATTGGACAAATTCAATGAACATCCAACAATCCTAACGAGTTATTCAAACTAATATAACTCACAATCTCCAATGGATAAAAAGTGAGCTTTGTTGGCAGGAAATGTTTGGAAATAAGAGATAATGATGAAAAATTTGATTATTTAGCACTAAAATGCAAAATCTAACTACAGCCACATTATGGGATCTTATCAAATGTGAAAATATTTTACTTTCTAAATTTATGGGGAAATTGAGTGATGTCTTATCTCAACCCGATATCAAATGAGCTTTGTTATATTTTATAGTATAAAATATGAGATTTTTACATTAAGATATGAAAACAATCACATTGATAGTATCTCATTTTGAATTGTTAAATTTGTATTAAAGTCTCGTTCATTTTACTGATTTGAATTTAGAATTCAAGTTTTGTTATAATAAAAAGCTTTCAAAAACAGTCACATTTAAATTTTTTACTACAGTAAAAAACTCATAAAGTCACATTTCAACTTAAATTAAAAACTCAAATCAACAAACTAAACGGGACATAAATTTCATTAACTTTGTATAATTTTATTAAAATGATTTTGATCAAATTTAAAATTTGAAAACACACGTGACAAAGCTCTTTAGTGATAATAAAAAAAACACAATATTATAGGGTGCTCGTATTTTATGAGTGCATTAATCATCACATCCAGTGATGACGTGTCACATAGTCATACGGTTTAGAAATAAATGCCAAAAAAGAAGCTAACCTTCATTCTGGGCCGTCGATCAGCGTTGACTTTTCTGACTTGGTACCTGATCTTCTTAGAGAAGAGGCGCGTACGCCGCTTTTCCTTGTATCGTAACACACTAGCCTCTCTCACTCCGCCGGTGTCCGAGAACAAATCTATTTGCGCCAGCCTGGCCTGCCTCAATTAAAAAAAAAACAAAAAAAATGAGCTACTATTCAGTGTTTCGCAGTACAGGCTTAACTCAAAATGGAAGCACCGAAAAGGACAACTTTCACTTTCACGTACATTCTAGTTATTACCCCAGTGAAAAAAAAAAAAAGAAAATAGTAATTTTTACAAATACTTGTTAAAATACGTTAATTAAAATTTTTATTTTTTATTCTTAATTAATAATTTTTTTAATTAAATAATTACAGTAATAAAAAAATATTTATGAAAGTATGAGAACACTTTCAAAAATAAATTATCTATTTTTTTAAAAGAAAAAAGGTTTTTTTTGGCTTTGTTTATAAGCGTTTCATGACTTTGGTTTTGAGAAATTTAAAAATTTTTTTTTTTGAATTAAAATCTTTTCTATTGCATTTTTTTTGCTAAAAAAAAGAGAGGTTTTTTATTTTTTATTTTTTTATTGCAACTGAATATTCTTGTTCCAATTGAAACTTTTTATTATTACAAATGAATATTCTTCTTCTAATTCCTTTATTTTTTATTGTGGGAATTAAGAGCTCCACGGTAAAGAGAAATACTTTTGGCCCCACAAATGGGTCCCACTGACATCGAAAACAACACTGGAGAGGAGGAAGAAGTAAGGAACAAAAAAACAAAAAACAACAAAAAACTGCAAAGAAATGAGAAAATAAAAATAAAAATTCAGTTCACTTTTACTTCGCTTTTTCTTGGTTCCACTTTTAATGGAGCGTGTAACACACGCGCCACAGCATCAACTTTGGTTCGCTAAAACTAATAGAAACTCATTTTTTTAATTATTTTTTCTTTTTTTCTTTCTCTTTCCGACCATTTGCTTTCCTAACGGAAGAAGAAGACAAGAAACCTACGGCGACGTCGTTTCCCGGCACGTCAGCTTCGTCGGAGAACGGCGAGCCCTTATCCGACCACGCGCTCAGAACGCCGTCGTAATTCAGCTTCAGCAACAACCCTAGCCCGGCATTGCTATTCGTCTTCGGCAATTCCAACACCTTTGTCTCGCCATCGCCGGCGACGGCCTTTTCCGCCGCCGCCTTTTCTCTCTCCGCCACCGCCGCTACCTTCTTCATCTTCTTCTTCTTCTTCATCTTCTCCGACGCCGAATTCGAACCCTTCATGAACCTCGGCGAGAGCTCCACCATGTCCACCGTCGGAAAATTCCACCAACTGTTGTAATTTCCATCGTCGCTATTCCTCAAGGCCTTAACAATTCCTGGTCTCCCGATTCCGAGCCCCAATTCGAATCCCAATCCCAATCCCATCGGACACCCAAAACAGATATTGCTACTATTCGCCGAGGAGGATTCGACGGCCAGATTTCCCATTATGCTGTCAATTCCGCCACCGTCGTCCACCTCCTCGGCGTAGTCGAAATCCTCGTCCTCCTCGTAATTCATGGCACTAGGGCAGAAACTCGCCGCGCGGGAATCGAATTCCCCGGGGCTGGGGCACGATTTATCCGACGAGGTCGTCGTCGTCGATGAGGTATTCGAGGAATTCGAGAATTTCGCCGTCTCTATTGCTCGGACGACGCCGGGTTTCTGGTCTATCAAGAAAGTGGAATCGTCATCGATGATTCTGAACGGAAAAAACAGCTCCGACGAATCGTCGGACAACAAGAAAGGCGATTTCGAGAAGGTTCGTGGATTACTGGCGGCGGAGGAGACGGCGGCGAGGTGTTTGGGGGAGAAGAGGTTGGGGTAGGCGGTGGAGAGCAATGCGGCGGCCTCGTTGTAGGTCTGGTTGGGGCGTTTTCGGCGAGTCCGAGGTTTCCGGGTAGTGATTGCGAGGCCGGAATTGCTGGATTCCGACAACGTTGTTGAGGCTGACGACGGTGACGGAGATGAAGATGTGGATGGCGATGGCGATGGCGATGGCGATGGCGATGGCGATTTCAGCATCTCCAGCTCGAAGGCGTAGGCCCTTCCACCGCCGCCGACGCCGCCGCCCAAACACGACGACATTTGGAGATGGTGATTCCTCGGAAGCAACATATAGAAAGAAAAGGAATAAAACTATATGAGAAAGTTGTGGTTCCTATAATTTGGAAAAAGCCATAGAAATAGCCAAAAACCCTTAAACCCTTCAAAGGAACAAACCAAATTTCTGGGCTTTTTTAAGGTGAAAAAAAGGCGAGAAAAGGCCAAAAGTTTTTTTTCTTTTTTTCTTTTAATGCAAATAGTAGGGAAATTTTTTCACAAAACCCAAAGAACCTGCCTCCAATTGACGCTCAAATTTTGCTCTGAGAGAATATCAGAGCATGATGAGAGTGAGATTTGGAGGAAAGGGAGGGAAAATATCTTGGAAAGGAAAGTTACCCAATAGAGGAATGGTCTAGTGTTAGATAAATATAGAGTGAAAAGTGAGCATAAAAAACCAGAGAGAGGAGAGAGAGAGGAGAGACAGAGAGAGAGTATGGTGGTGTAGGAGAGAGAGAAGGGGAAAAGAAGGTCACGAGGTGGCGGAGCAGATAAAAGGGAAAGAACCGTTGTGAGCTTTGTACATATAGCGCATGTTGGCATCTAATTTCTCTCTCTCTCTCTCTCTCTCTCTCCTCTCTTTCTCTCTCTAGAGTGAAGTGAAGTGAGGAGAAGAGGAGATTGAGGGAAGAAATGGTGGAGATATGAGAACAGAGGAAGAGACAAGCCTCCAGTCTCAGCAGTTCTGGGCGTGGGGTCCACTATCTTTCATTTTACAAAAAATAAAACTCTTTTTCTCTCTCTTGTTCTTTTTGTTTTTGTGTTTTTTTTTTTTAAGTTTTCAAAATGGTTCAATTATTTTTCTGGCTCATTTACCTAATTGGCCTTCTTCTTTATTTATTCCTCTCCTCTATATTTTTGTTCTGATTATTGGAATTCACAATTGTTTGTTAAGGGTTTTGACAAAGACCAAATTAATTTTAGTTGAATGTTAATAGCTCTTGTGGCAAAAGTTCACAAACGAAATTGACTTGTCAAATTGAATGTTACTAGAGATTTTTTTTCTTATCCTTTAGAGCTTGATTGATCTTTTGATAGGTTTTTCATTGTCTCTAATTTATTGTCATTTTTACTTTCTATAACTATAATCTCATTTATCATTTATGAAAAATGATAGAGTGGCCATCAATTTGTGCACTACAAACTTACTCTTTCAATAGATTATATTATGGTAGGTTTTTAATCATTAAATTAATTTTTTAACGTTAAATTTATGCATATTCACATTAAAAATTTACGATGAAACTATAAAGAATTGTGTGAACGGTGAGTGGCTAGAAGAGAAAGAGGTCCTCATACTGAGTCGCACACTTACTTAAACAATAAAAAATTAAAAAATAAATCGAACAAACTCTCTTAACCAAAAAGTAACTGACGAAACTTTCTTAAAACATAACTACCCTTACTTAAAATTAAACTGCTTAAAAATTAATCCAATAATAAAAATAATATTTTCCACCCTAAATATACCTATTTCTTAATTTTATTTTACACAAGCTGTAATATTGCAATTACAACGGTTCTTTTTCCATCAATCTATTTTTCTTTCCAAGTCAGAAATTTGCCAACGAAAACTCTTTCAAGTTGCCGAAAAGTCAGCATCAAGGGCATTTCAGTGAATTGATTGACATGACAAGGGCATTTTGGTAACAAAACTTTCTAATCCTAATGATGGGCAAGTATCGATTGCCCCCATTCGGATTAGTCCAAATATGCCACCCATACCACCTGCAAACTTTTGGGATTTCCTTGGAAAGGCTCCTTATCCGCTGAGGTGGCAAAACCTAATTGGCGGGTCTAGATTTTAGGGCTGACGTGGCATGTCCTTAATAGGGTGGATGACATTCACGTGTATCAAGGTGGGGGAGGTAAGATTTTCGATGTCTTTCTTCTATAGAAGCAATGATTTGTTTGGAGCCCTTTTTTTAGTGTCCTTTTTGTTGATTTATTATTGTGTGGAGGATGGGAATCATACGTTGAGCTTATTAGCTTCAATGATTTGTGATTACGAGATCATACAATTTTGTGGCAATCTTACCATTTGCACTATTATCTTACCATCATTCTGAGACAAATTTTATATATCACCAATTTAAATCACTTTTTTTTATTTTTATTTTCTTCCTCAATTCAAAAAACTATAGGGTTTTGCGATGAAACACGTAAGCCATTCAAGCTAAAATGTGACATTTTCTGATAATTTTTTACTGAGTAAAAAAAGTTAGATGTAACATTTTTTGAGAGTTTTTTACTGTAGAAACCTAAAATTGAAAACTCGAATCTGCGAAATGAACGAGGCCATAAAAAGTTTAAACTCGAATTATAACTTTATTCAAGTTGTTCTTTTCTAAAATTTGAGTTTGAACTCGAGTTTGGGGCTAAACTTAAGTTCAAGTTTCCCCTTCAACTCGAGTTCATAAACTCGAACTTAAGTTAATGAACATTATTTTTTCTATTCTTAAAAATAATATAACTTTTTCGTTTTAATTCTAATTGAGATGATTTTTCTTTTCTATGCATTCACAACGAAAAGACGAATAAAACCTCACCCATATACCCTATTAAAATTTTTCATCATCATTGAGTTTTTATTAAAATACCATCTAAATATAAATTTAAGTTTTGACACACCCAAACACAAACTCAAAAAAATTCTCAATTCAAACCATAACTTAAGTTTTACTACAGTAAAAAGCTCTTAAAAACAGTCACATCTAACTTTTTTACTACAGTAAAAAGTTTTCACATAAAATCACATCTCAACTCGAATTAGCGAACTAAACAGGCCCTAAATGTGCACATCCAAACACAACTCAAGTTACAATTTCAACTCAAATTCAACTCAAGATCATCACTCAAGTCACCCTAACTCAAAAATGTAAAAGAACAACCCCTATAATTTGACTTATTATTTCTTATTCTCGAACTTGAAAGGTCTAACAAATTTTCCTCTTAAGTGAACAAAATATTTGAGGTGTCACTAAATTTGAAATATTAATAAAAACCTATTTCAAATAAAAAACTGTAATAATTGAAAAAAATGATTAAAACTACTTTTAATACTGTATGTATTAATTAAGAGTGGGGAAGTAGGTTCAGGTATCACCTTTACACGACTCGGAAAAAATAAATTTGTCTCATCCCCGCCCCAGTTCCCATTAACAATTCCTCTTACTTGGCCTATTAAAGACATGATACTAGAGAACATATCAAACGTAATATTATAGAACAAGAGTAAGTAAAACGTAACACATAACACAACAATATGTTGTATATCTCAACTTTTTAACTGTCAATACACATGTAGCAGCTAAGTCGTTATTTTCCAATAGATGAATTCAATTAAATTTATTTGTGAGTTGTGTTTTACTTGTGTAAGCAATCAACATAAGAATTCAAGGATGAGGCAGAATGACATCAAAGGTTCGGTTGTTCGCCGATTTAAGTGGTACGTGAGTTGGGTTTAGAATGTTGTAAGACAGTTAAGTTCCTATCTACCATTGGTATTAAAGGGAGAACTACGAGGAGCCAACCAACCCTAGTACGAGAGGACTGAGTATGGGGCGGAATGACACCATAGTCCCTTTTTTATTAAAATGAAAAAAGAAAAAAGAATTAATGGACACATGAGTTATATTAATTCAAAAGTTTAAATACAAATTCCATATGGTTATGGAACATGTATATATTTGTATGCATATATATATATATATTGTTGTAGGGTTAAAATAGAGACCTATTAAGAAGGCTTAATGTCATTAAGAAGCCCATTAAGTGCACAAGGACAACTCAGTCCTGGTGCCTTTTCCTTACATCTCTTTTCAAACTCCTTAGAGGTGAGGCAATTCTTGGCAGCTTCTTCGGCGCCAACCTTCTTCCCCTCCACGAAGCCTTCAATCTGCTTCACCAAGGTACTTCTCCCTTGACACCTCCATTTTCTTTTAGAGCTTCTCCTATTCCTCTTGAAGCTTCTCCACCTTCTTAGCCTCGTTGTCTTGATCTTTCTTGGCGAGGTCCCTCTTGATACGAACTACGCCAACAACGTGACGAAACCCGACACCAAATATGGAATACGACTCAAGATCTCTCAAGATTGATGGAAACCGCGACCCGTTGCTTAGCAAAGTAAGAACCTTGGTATGGTGAAGACGCCACAAACGAGTATGAAAATTCCGTTTGATAAGTTAAGTTGAACGCCACAAGGAATCCTTGATAAGTTCGAAAAAATTTCTTCAAGAACTCAAGAAGAATATCTCACAATATGAATAAACATCAAAACTGTTTTTCATTATCCGAAATTCAGCCTTAAATAGTTGAAATTTCCATGAAGAGTTTTTAATTGTAAAAGTCATAATCTACCCTTAATGAGATAGACACACCTAAAACAAGATAAACACACCTAAAAGCAAATCCTAGGAAGGAATCTGAATTTGACTCAAAATCCTTCCTTCTAAACACGCCTATTATGAAATTTAAATGTTAAATTAAAACTTAAATCTAAAAAGATAGGATTATAACGAAATCAAATCTTGATCCGCAATCTTGACTTGATCCCTTGCTGAAAAATATACCTACATCCTCTTGGACTTCCCCTTGCACGTGTATCCTGGAATAACATGCAAGTTGGCCATGCAATGGCTCAATGGACGTGTATGACTGATTGGCTCTCTTCCGGATCGACTTTGATTAGTAAAACCAGCCTTTGTTCGCCCTCAATAGTGAACACTCTCTCTTCTTGTTGTAGAACTCTCCGGACTAGGTAATTCAACTCTTCTTTAAATCTTTTAGCTCGATACCCCATCACCGGACCAACTAGGACTTGAATTGGATCGTGAGTATTCCTTGCATCCCTGGTGTCCTCATCACCTCTCCCCTATGATGGTCTTGGAAATGAGTTTCTCAGCATCGAGGAGACCTTTTAAGCTCACCTTGAGCTGGTTCATCTCCTTGCTTTGCTTCTCAACTTTGATCAATTCAATCAGATTGAGAAAGGAGAGAACGAGGGCCTGCAAGCGGATGAGGCAATTATGGTTAAAAAAATCATAAAAAAGGTTGGTAAAGCTTCAAAATTTAGAAAAGATGATGCTTACATTGACTTGGTAGAAGACTTATTCTCTCATGTGGTCAACGACTGGAGATTTGGAGATCACAACAACCTAATCTTCATCAAAGAAGTTCTCGTAAATAGCTTGAAAGGTACCGTAAAAAGGTTGTGGAAGGTCTAATGTAGCTTCTCTTTGGGTGTCGGGGTCGTTGGGAATAAGATATAAAGGGTCCTTATGAAGCATCTTCAAAGAGAATCAAATGATACATGAATGATTTCACGCGAAACGCTACAAAGTTCAAGCATCTATCTATGAAAATTGAAAACAAAAATGCACGATCTAACAGCTTAGATCTCACCATTTAAATGGTCGTATGAATGTTTAACACAACGACGTGTAAGTGACGTAATCAACGAGACTGTTATACTTTCAAGAAGCATCTTCAGTGACATAGGTGTTATTGTTTAAGGATAGAATCCTTCGCGAGTAACCAAGCCTTAAGGAGGAGTCAAAGAAGAGATCCTTTCTGGTCACAGTTCGAAGCAATCCAT